TTTACACAGGGTGCTTTTCATGTCCTGTATATATACAAAGATTGGATAAAGACATTGAATTTTCCGCTCTTATTTTCTTAGCCTATCTAAAGCAAACCATTAACAACAAGACAAAAAAAGAAAAAGAAAGAAAATCTGAAAAAGTGAAATCCCCTTTAGGGCCAGTCCATTAAAAAGCATTTAATAGCCTTGTGCCAACAAACTGATGACCATTAAAAAAGAATTGATAAGAAAAAGACCTCATAGGGAGGAGGGGGTTAAGGGAAGATTCTAGATAAAGAGCCATATTTCCCACAAACAAGGATGAAAACAAAACAGAGCAGGCAAGAGGCACTGTGGAAAGAGAGAAGAAAGCTAAACAATGGCTTTATTGATTTAAGACATGTGGGTTTCATTAGGGAAAGCTGAATGCATTAAAATAGGTTGTGATACCCGAATGGAGGCAAAGAGCAAACTTAGGTCACAGGGCTCCTCGACAAAAGGCATGATAAATCTTTATTGGGTAATTGGACCAGGAGGTAGGAGGAGAAAGGCAACCCTTTCCCCCTGTCCTCCCCACCCCCACATGGATAGTTTCTCAGCCTTCGAGGGTAAGTCAGCATGCCAACATGGAAAGACACATGCCAGGGTCTCTGTTGGACATGGCAACATCTGCCTGCCGAGGCAACCCGGAGCCAGAAACACTCGTGCTGATATGAAAATAAATAAGGCAGAGATCAAACGGTGCATGTAAGATGTCTCAATGCAAAGCTTCCGCAGAACCCAAGAGGGATAAAGTAGCAATACTAATTTCTGTTCGCTTTGGTAAGCATTTTCTCCTAAGAGCTCATAACCCACGGTAGCATATAGGAAACGGGCAGGTATCCATAGAACAGCTTCCCTTTAGGAAGAATGGACACGAAAGCAAAAGATCGCTTGATTATTCTAGTGAGAAAAACTGCACTTCAATGAACACAGAGAATGTGGTGGGTGCTTTTACATAAACTACCCCCTCCTCCTCTTCCTCCCTCTCTTCCTCCTCCTTCCCCTTCTCTGCTTTTCCTTCATTTTGTTTTTTAAGACAGGAACTCAGGTAACCCAGGCCAACTTTCAACTCCCTTGAGCCCCAGATGCCCTTGCCTCCACCCCCAAATTCTGGGATTACGGTAATCCACTTTACCCAGTTTGTATGAACTTTTAAAAATCAGTCTGAATCCTTTGTCTTAACATATTCCTTAAGCTAAAGCAAAACGTTTAAACTAAGAGAAATATGTCTTTTAAATTTTTATTTATGCATTTCTGTTCCTTTTTCTCTTGCATTCCTTTTTCTAGAATTTTCCCATTTTCACCTGGTGACCTAACTGTTCCTCCCCTCTTCCCATCAAGACCATAGTCCCATAAACTAGCCCTTCTCTGATACCCTTATACATCTGGTCTCCCCAGGGCTCCTTGTCCCCAAAAGGCCAGTCCAGGCAAGGTCCTTCGTGCCAGCTAGCCTAAGAAAGAAGTCATTGGCTTGACATTTTGTCTTTATAATGCCCACTCTTGGGGGATGGTTTTGTTGTTGTCTTGCTTTTTACATTTGTTTACCTGTGTGTCTATGGTTAGGTAGGGCACGCAGCATGGTACTTGTGTAGAGGTCAGGACTGACTTGTGGTAGTTGTTCTCTCCCTCAACCTACCACGTATGTTCTGAGGACACAACTCTTCAAGCTTAGAGATAAGCACGTCAACCCACTGATCCACCTTGCCAGCCTCAATGCTGCCGCTCAAAGAATTGCCTTGGATATCTTGTAAGACATAATGTTATCTGTTGAACCAAATGACTATGACAGCATTTACTAACAATATGAAGTAGCCTTTTTTTTTTTAATCACAGAAGAATAAAGGATTTTAGCCCAACTGCGTCATACTAGTTTGGGCAAGACGCCCCTGCTGAAGTGTCTGAAACTACACAAATTCCCTTCTTCACTCTTTTGTCTCCAAGGCTGAAGACCTAATAAGAAGAGTTCACGAACTTGAATGCCTGGCTGGCATGTGGCATCCTGGTGACACCCAGAGGCCTGGGGTTCGGAAGAGTTTAACTGTGGAGACAGATACAGAAAGCGGGACCTGTGTCTATATTTCGATTAAGGGCTCGATGGGTATATTGACATGGGCTACAGAAGATTAAAGAGCTGGGACAAATATGGGAGAAGACAGGGAGAAGACTGTCCTGACTTGAGCTGGAACCCCAAGCAAGAGGACCACTCTCAGAGACCAGCCTGGCAGACACACCAACTACACACGACTACTGTCATATGGCACATGATGATTGTCCTTCTCCTTGTGCTGGGATGGGGCAACATCTAGAGCTCTTCTGGCCTCCCAGCCAGTCCCAGCCCTGATATCGCCTTTCCACCAACAGCACCAAGACACACTCTGCAGACTCTCCCAGTCTTGAGCAATTCTTCTCTGCCCACCTTCCGATTTGATTGGAAGCGTCCATTGCTTTTGAAGTGTCCACTACTTTTGAAGCGTTTGGAGTAGCTGAACGCAGGAACTGGAAACTCCCAGTGACAAATGGAAGTTCTGTAGTCGTTGCACTACTGGTCTACTGAAGAGACCCCCCCCCCTCATGCTTTTCAAATTGTGGGAAAATACATGTAAGATAAAATTTACCCCCGTTAGGGGCACAGTTCAGTGCCAGGGGGCATATCTGTGTGTTGTGGCGGGGTTACCGTCAGCATCTCATGCCAGCTTGAAACTCTGAGCCCCTTAAGCACCTCCCCCACTCTCCTCTCAGCTCTTGTCAATCACCACTCTACTTCCTGTCTCTATGCAATTATTCCGGAAGGCGCCTCACAAAAAGTAGAAGTACACAGTGCTAGTCCTCTTGTGTGCGGCATGTTTGGTTTTGTCCAGTATCGTTGGTTTGTAGAAGTCAATGCACCCTCTCCGTGCGAATGAACTCGGGAAACAGGCTAAATTCTCAACACATCTGTGTAGAGAGTCATCACAGCAGAGCATGGCTAGAGTGTACTGAGCCAGGATGTTTGGGCTTGAGGCTGGGAGCAGTGTACTGAGCTATGTGATTTGAGGAAATGACTTAGCTTTTCTGTGCCAGGGTTTCTTCATGTATCACATGGAAACCTTGACGGTAAATGTATGTGGGACTACTGTGAGAATCAAACAAACATGTAAAAATAATACTTGACGCATAGTTCCACTGGGAAAATACTAATATAACTTAAAATAAGAACTTAAGTAAACATATCTAAATGCAAAATTTAAAAACACGGCCTCACAAAGCACTTCAACAGTTTTGAAGTGTTCATTATAAGCAGAGCAAGTGTCTTCTCTCAAGAACGTTACCTACAATCATACCTACATGGATATGGTACAAATTAAACATGAACTATTCTCTTGGAAACAGGAAAATTTTAAAACACAAGACACTTCAATCTTAAGAAAAAGTGAGATCTAAGCCAGGAATGGTAAGACCAGCTCCCGGGAACCTGAGGCAGGAGGATCAGAAGTTCGAAGCCAGCCCAGGATACATAATGAGTGTGAAGCTGGCCTGGGCTACATAGTGAGATGGGGGAGGGGGAGAGGAATTGAATCTAAATAGAATATGAAAAGGTTTACAAAAGATACACCCCAAGTGCCCATTTGACAGATTATATATTAGCAATATTGCAAACATGGCCAGTATTGGCCAAATTCTTCCAGAAGGGTGAGTGAAGCAGGTCCTACTCAAAGAGAGAAAAGTGCAAACTTGAGTTGAAGAGATGGCTCAGTGGTTAAGGGCAGAAGACCAGAGTTCAGTTCCCAGCACCCATTTCAGGGGTCTTACAACTATCTGCAAGTCCAGCTCCAGGGGATCTTACACCGTCTTCTAGCCTCATTGGACACCGTTCTCACATGTATAAACCCACACTCAGAGGCACACACATGTGCGTATACACATATATACACATAATAAAAAATTAAAATATTTAAGAAAGAAAAGTGAAATTTAAGACACCCAGAGATGAAGCTGGAGAGATGGCTCAGTAGTTACGAGCACTGGCTGATCTTCCAGAGGACCCAGGTTTGAGTCCCAGCAACCACAAGGTGGCTCACAACCATCTGTAACTCTGGTTCCAGGGGATTCAATGCTCTCTTTGGACCTCCATGGGCATCAGGCATGCACACGGTGTACATACATACATGCAAGCAAAAAGAAACATAAAAAGAAAAAAGACCATCAGACAAAGTAAAGTCTCCCGACAGCACACTTGCCCAGAGGATGAGATGCAAGAAGACAAAACAGAAGTGAACGCTCAAGCAGAAAAAAAGAAGCACTCTCGTTTTGCATATTTATGGAAGGACTTTCCCCACTATCAAATCAAGACATGATTGCCTATCTTAGGAAAACCCATTTCACTGATTCTGAAAAACCAAAACCATCATCCTGAGTACAGATTTCGCAAACAAAATTTTCCCTGTCCCCACAGGAACTACCTCCCTTCCAGTTCCTGAGTCAGAGATTGGCTCAGTTTTGTGGATGCATTTTCCAAAGACCTATCCTTGTCCCCTCTACCGCCTCCACACTGGGGCCTGGTTGTCCTGTGGTCATGTCGTAGCTAGGGAAGACATTTGTTCTGTCTTCATGCAGCAGACAGGCCGGCCTCCCTCTACCACCTCTGTTATGAATGTGCTGTATAAGAGGCTGTGAGATTCTGAAACCAAGAGCACCGTGTGTTGTGCTGGGATGTATGGAAAGAGACTCCTTTGAGTCTGGACGTGAGTCCATTGGTTTCTGTTGTACACAGAGTGCCTCCCCCTGTCCTAAGTCAGAACCAACTAGTTCTCCACTTCCAGCAGCGTCGGTGACAATTCAATTGTTTTTTATTTTATTTTCCAGTAGCTGTTTCGGGCTTTCTCTTCTTTTGAGTGAATGATCATATTTCTCTCTTATCTTCATCCTTTTTTTTTGTGCTGGGCTTGCCAGATTAGAGCGCGCTGTCTTAAAAGATTTCCATGCCCTGCTTTATCAGGACAGGCACAGTGTGCCCTCTGACAAGTCGAGCCCAGCTTCCCCTCTTGTTCAGGGTTCTTTGTTTTCAAATTTCACAGACCTTCTGACTCCCCAAGGAGTTGTTTTGCCAATAGGGCCCCTAGACTTCAGCCTCGGGGACAGGAAAAGGGAACCGACAGAAATTTCTGGAATTTAGTAAGAGGGGAACTATTTCATGACCTTTGTTTTTAAAAGCAGGTTTTCAGGGGTTCTAGAAAATTCCCCTAGAGTTGTTTCATTAGAGAGAAAACAGCACACAGCAGGTATGAAAACAGGAAAAGGGTGAGTGAGTGGCCACTGTTTGATCATCTCTAGAGAGGGGAAATTTGTCTGAGGTAAACAGTTCTCAGAAAGAGCGAGAGTTTCTTGAACGTGAGGGTTTGAATGGTTTTGACACCCTCTAAGTCGAGGCCAGACTGAAGTCCACACTCTGGAGGGCTCTGAACGCCAAGGTAGGTCAGGGGACAGTCTCGGAACTTGAGTCCAAGTAGGGGCAACTTGCCTGTTAGAGCTATGGGAACTAAAAATTAAAATAAAATACAATGAAATGCTGGATAATAACAGCATGTAAGTGGACTGAGAGGAAACTGGGCATAAAGCAAGTAGACAGGACTGGATTCTTCAAAGAGATACAATTTGGCTAAATTCCACCTGTTAATTAAAATTGCATGCTAAGATTTCTAGAGGAACACTGAAAAACTAAAAAGAGAACCTATAAATTCCACACTAATGGGGGGGGGAGTATAGAGAAGGGAATTTATATGCCATTATGCTGCTTTTATTAATTGCTTTACATTTTTTAACTCAGCATCCTGTTTCATAGGCTAATTTTGGAAAACAACACAACAAACCCAAGGGGAAAAAAGAGCAAAAAAAGTAAGAACAGAAAATTTGAAGCAAGTTAAAAATAAACAAAGAGGACCAAGCTGCAAAAAAACTCTGTCTTTATAAAAACCAATAAATAGAAAAATGTCTTGCAAAAGAGATGGAGAAAAGAGAGCAAAAGGTAGAAATAACAAGTATTAAGTCTAAAAAAAATCAAATCATAGATATAGAAGTTATAAGTACATATATAATAAAAGTGAGTAGATTAATAAAACTACCTTTGAGATTTGTAAGTGAAATGGAAAATTTCTTTAAAAAACAGAAATAACAAAAGATGCTTCAGGCAATAATAGCAAAATGTGAACAATTTGGTAACTGTTAATAAATTAAATTGGAATTTTAAAACCTTCCCACAAGGTTGACTGGTCCTGGAGGGACACATTCCTCACATTCAGCGGTGAATAGTGTCAGATTTAACCAAACTCTCCAGGAAGCAGGCAAACAGGAAATGGTATCTCCACTTATTTTTACCAAATTATATTTGTTCTTATCCAAAATTATAAAACAAATACATAAAAATAGAAGCAAAACCAAAGTGTTGGCAAACTGAATCTTGTCTGCCATAGTCCCGTGTGATGTATTATGGCATAATCAAATGAGATTAATGTGAGGATGCAAGCTTAGTATTAGTGAGAAAATCTATTCATGCAGTGGACATAACACACAAAAGGGAGCAATCAATCGTCTTAATAGATTCAGAGAAAGCATCCAATGAAATTCAAGACAATACAGTAATATGAATGAATTTGGTGAAAGGCATTATTTAAAAAAATAACAGCAGGGCTAGGGAGGTGGCTTGTTGGGAAAAAGCATTTGCTGTTCAGATCCCCAGAACCCAAGTAAAGCTGAATGCAGGGGTACACACCTGTAACCTCACAGCGTCTGCTGCAAAATGGAGAGCAGAGACAGGGTCCCGGAAGCTGGCCAGTCAGCGATCCCTGAGAAAGCAATAAAAGGCCCTGTCTCACACAAGGTGAAAGGTAACAACTGACACTTACGGTTCTTCCCTGACCTCCACAGGTGGCCCCTGGCACATGCGTGCCCACCCCAAACACACACACACACACACACACACACACACACACACACACACACACACACACACACACCACGTCTTATTAAAAAAAAACTAAACGAATGGAGAGACATATTAACTTCATAGGTCAGGAAATTCAGTGTTGCAAGGACATCAGTTCCTATGTAACAGATTCATAGACTGACAAGTTTATTCCCACATTATTTTTCTTGAACATTAGTGCACTAATTCTGAAATTCCTATGAAAGGAAAAGTCATTACAATATTCTTGAAGAAGATAAAGTTAAGGACCTTCCCCTATGATATATCAGACCTTCACATGATGTTACAGCAAGTAAAATAATCCCAGCACTGGGAAGGCATAAGATTCTTGGGGGTTGCTGGCCAGCAAGTCTATCCAAATTAGTGAGTTCCAGGCCAGAGGGAGATCCTGTCTCAAAAAAGAGGGTGGAGAGCGATTGAGAAACTCAACCTCTGGCTTCCACACATACCCACACACTTACACAAACTTACACATATACCACACATATACACACAACACTGCACACATACAAAGACACAATAAACAATAAAAACAAAATGTCATCAGGTGGGACAAGACAACTACCATACACAAAACTGGCGAAGGTTTAGGATGGCAAAAATATTAAGAATGTCTATGAGTCAATAACATACGTATAGTATATAAACATCTTCATGTGTGCTACTAGAAGTAATTTAAATAACCCAATGAGGAAAATGACAAAAATATAAATATTCCACAAAGGAAGAAAGCTGATTAATAATAAACATTAAAAGATGCTCGACTCATGTGTAACCAGAGAAATGCAAATGGAAGTGGTACGTGATTTTTAGAGCCCCATGCTGGGCAGACAGTGCACTTCTTGGCGGTGTCCGGTGTCCATAAGGACGCCTGCTTCAGCGTGGTACAGCAGAAGTCCGTCAGACCTTGGGCTTTGCCTGCTAGGTTGGCCCATCAGCTCTGCCCTGCAAAATGCTTTCACATGTATCCAGGAAATGGATATAAGCCATTGTTCATAATAAGTAGAGCGATTGAAACAACCCTAATTTCCATCCATAATGAAGCGCAGACGTGACAGAATATGAAGTAGCTACCGCCAACATCAATATGGATGAACCTCCATAATACGGCAGAATGGTAAGTCACTGATGGATGCCTTTGAGCAGTCCTGAGGAAGTGAGACTTCTTGAAAAATGGGGGTTGAGTTAGACAAGGAAAGAAACGAGTAGGGACGAAGAACAACACACCCCACTCAGGACACAACGCCCTCCCCTAGACTGTTTCCTGATATACGTCCCTGGTAGACACTAACTCACTTTCAGACACCTGGTCACCTGAGTCTGTAATCTTTGTAGTGTGTGTGTGCGTGTGTGCGTGCGTGCGTGCGTGCGTGCATGCGTGCGTGCATGCGTGCGTGCGTGCGTGCGTGTGTGTGTGTGTGTGTGTGTGTGTGTGTGTGTACAAGTGCATGCTTGCTATGGTGCATGCGGAGGTCCAAGGATTACCTCTGGTGTTTTTGCTCATTTCTCACCTTGGCTGAGGCAGGATCTCTCTTGTTTATCTACTGTGCACTCCAGGCTGGCTGGCTGGCCCTCCAGCTTCTGGGATTCTGCCTCTGCTTCCCCTCTTGTCACATAAGCTCTAGAATTACAGCTGTGCGCCACTGTGTCCGGCTGTCTGTGGGTTCCGGGTATCTGTACTCAGGGCCTCCTGCTTGTTCCTGAACCATCTTCCTGGCCCCCTGGGGCTGTTCTGAACAACTCAATTGCCTTCTGGAAACACTTAGAAGACGAAAAAGGCTCAAATGCAAATAAAAAGTGTAGAACAGTTAGACAAGATATAAAAGCCGGGCGGTGGTGGTGTACACCTTTAATCCCAGCACTCAGGAGGCAGAGCCTGGTGGATCTCTGTGAGTTCGAGGCCTAGCCAGGTCTACAGAGCAAGAGCCAGGACAGGCACCAAAACTACACTGAGAAACCCTGTCTCAAAACAAACAAACAAAAGAAATAAAGATATTCACAACAAAATCCTTTAGAAAACCGGGTGGGGGAAGGTAAACCCAAACCGCCCTCCACTGTCAGTCCCTAGAACAGTGCTTCTCAGACTCCCCAACGCTGTGACCCTTTAATACAGGTCCTCAGGTTGCGGTGACCCCCAACCACAAAATTATTTCAGTTGCCACTTCTTAACTGTCATTTTGCTACAGTTATGAATCATAATGCAATATCTGTTTTTTGATGGTCTGAGGTAACACCTATGAAAGGGTTGTTTGGCCCCCCAAGGGGGTTGTGACCCACCAGTTGAGAACCACTGCCCTGAAGAGGAGCAAAGATGAACACGGGACGGCTTCCACAGGAACAGCAGAAAGAGCATGCCGAGCTGGACAGTGCAGAGAGGTTTTCAAAGTTAACAACAGAACCTAGCTTCCCACAAGCTGTCTCCCAAGCCCCTGAGAACAAAAGGTGCTCTGAGAACATGATTTCGTTTTTTTTAAAGGCCTGATAGTCTTTGCGTCTAGAAAGGCATTTTTTGTCACACGGCTTGAAATGAGCCGCCAATTCATGAACACTATAAACCAAGAATGTCAATTATCGGTGATGAAATCAAGTTTGCAAACCTTTCCCTTTATTTCTTTGCGTATTTAGGATTACAGTAATTATCTAAGTGTAAGAAGTATCAGTTTCATGCTCTGTGAAAATATTTAAATTAACTCATAAAAGACTAAAGTTTTCTCTGTTAAGTAACAATTTTCCTTAGACATGAATGCTACAGTTATATGCTTACCACATCTGAACCTGTCAAACACTTCCTAGGCCTGCCAAGTACAGTCAACACATTGATGAAGGTCATCGTCCCCTAGTGTTGCCTCAACTAACAAGACTTTAAAAGACAATAGAATCAATTATTTTAATGTCATGTAACTCAAAGACAGGAAAAGCATATCCAAATGCAGTATGATAATGTCAGCACTTAGTATATTCACACAACCCTTAAAATATACCTCTTATGTAACAATGTGGATATTGCAATTACCTTTCCCCTCTCTCAGGTCATTGGTAACCAGCAGAGTGTCACGGGCTGAGCATAGCAATCCAGGTAGGGTCCATTTAGAGGATTTGCCATCAGACTTGACACTGTTGTCTAGATGACACCATATGAGCCTCAGGCCAGCCAGTGGAGTCCTGGGTTAACCCTGGACTCCGTCTGCTTACCCAATCAAGCACTCAAGTACTTCAATATCTTTTTTCTCTGCGTACCCACACCCCCCATTCCTGCCCCACCCACATTGCAACACTTGTATGTCTTTTGGGTCATGAAATTCCATACTTGGCAACGATTCACTTCCATCATCTGTTGTATCCTTTCTATAATCATTTATGCACACGAGGCTAATCCAGGAGGGAAAAATTAAGGATGTGAAACAGAAAGTCAGGATGGTATTGGCAACTTGGCTGGGAGATGAGAAAGATGAAATGTATTCTTAGACTATGAAGCCTTGAAACTACGAAGAGCCTGCAAACATCTTGAAGCGATGAGGGAGGGAGTTCCCAACTGTTTCTGACAAGTGGGGCTTGGAAATAAAAAGCCCTTCCATGCCCTTTAGTCTCAGCCCAAGAGGGTTAAAACGCCACTGCTGCTGTCTCCCTCGCCTAGACTTCACAGCGGGGGACACAGGTGCTGTCACCTGTGCTAGCAATCCTGGATGCAAGAAGGTAGGGTTGCAACCTGCCAATCCAAGACACGGGGATCTCTAAGCCGAATCTTACTATTTCCTTTGTGGGGGCACAAATATGCCACAAGGGGTTGTAAACGTATTTGCATGTGTAGCTGTGGCCACATGTGTTTAAGCCCCATCACATGACCTGGCAGTGACTGGTTAGAGCCAACTGTGACATGGGTGTCACTGTGTAAGAAGTCAGACTCCTTCTAGGGCAGTGGTGCCCAACCTTCCTGATGCTGCGACCCTTTAATACAGTTCCTCATGTTGTGGTGACCCCCGCCCCCACACACACACCCATAAAAACCCCATTATAAAATTAATGTCATTGCTACTTCATAACTGTAATTTTGCTAGTGTTATGAATCAAAATGTAAATATCCAATATGCAGGATGGTCTTAGGTGACCTCTGTGAATGGGTCACTGCCCCCAAAAGGGATTGTGACCCACAGATTGAGAACCACTGCTCTTGGGTATAGTGTTGGGAGAAATGGTTCTTTTAACCTCTCTTCTTAGCTCTTGAGGGATCTGGCCAAGATGAGGTCTAAGCACGGCAGGGATTGAGAAAAAAAAAAATAATGTAAGAAATAGAGATGACAAGGGCTGGAATTCAGACCCCATGCTGACTACTTGTGAGGGAGGAGGGGATTGACTCTTTAAGTTCCCAGCCATTGCCAAGACAGTAAATAAGGGAGTCAGGAGGACGGACTGTGCACAGGAGAAAAGAGAAAAGCTTTCCTTTAAAAAAAAATTAAGTACTTCAGTATGCCTTCCCACAAACATCATACCCACATGTTGGGAAGAAAATTTCTTAATTTACCTACTTATTTATTCATTCTGTTTTGTTTTAAACAGAGTTCAGGCTGGCCCCAAACTTGACACATCACCAAAAGAGAGCCTTAAACTTCTGATCTTCTCCTTCCACCTTCCAAGTAGTAGGATCACAAGCCCGAGTCACCAGGCCTGGCTGCAGAGAAACTGGTTTGCTGTTCCTCAGTTAGCAAATTTTCTCTCCATTTGTTCATTTGTTGCAAACTTTGTAGCCCCCGAGATTTTCAAAACAATGAAGTTATTTATCAGCTGTTTAAATCATGCAGCTCACTTTTGTCTTTTGAGAAATATGAGTTTCATTAACTTTCACAACTTTCAAATGGTTTGTTTTCGTTAAGGATGCTTAAGGATGCGTTACTCATAATGGGAACAGATCAAAACCAGTGGCACCCCCTGAGGGAAATGGTGAATAACATTGATGATGAAGCCATTGCAGATTCAGTCAGTCAGTGAGCAAATCTTTCCAGGGATGCAGATGCAGCATGTTGATAGCTAGACCCCTTAAAGACAATACCTTGATACACTGGTCCAACCTTTAGACGTTGCAGCATCTCATGGTCTTCCACAAACTTCACACTCAACTGAGCTGCACGATCAAGTTACCCACTACTCCCTGCCCACCACCAAATCTTCTAACACCTTAAGTCAATTTGTAACTTTGTGTTGGGTCACATTCATAGCTATCCTTGGCTGCACGTCGGGCACGTTTACCATGACTTTGTCATTAATAAACTACCCCCTCTGTCCTCCTGGCCACCACACTTTATTTTCTCACTGTGGTGAGATTGGAAAGAAGAACAGTAATGAGGCTGAGGTGGTACTCAGAATTGGGAAGGAAGGCAACATTTAAATGAGGTAAGAGCGGCCACGTGGATACTGAGGTAAACTGCATGCTGCAAGGACTCTAAAGCAGAACCCTCAGAGGTGTCTTTTTTATCTTTTTCTTTCTCAGAACTATTTCTCCTCCTTCCCCTCCTCTCCTTCTCCTCCTCCTACCCTCCTTCTCTTCCTTCTCCTTCTCCTTATTTCTTTTTTTTTTTTTTTTTTTTTTTTTTTTTTTTTTCTCTCTCTCTCTCTTTTTTTTTGTGTGTGTGTGTCTTTGTAGAGTAACCCTGGCTCTCCTGAAACTCTCTCTGTAAACCAGGTTGGCCCTGAAACTCAAAGAGATCTGCCTGCTTCTGCTTCCCAAGTGCTGGGATTAAAGTCATGCCGGGACTTTCTCAGGTCTAATGACCCAACCAGGGCTTTGTGCTTGCTAGGTGAGCACTCTTCCACTGAGCCAAACTCCCAATCCATTCCAATGTGTCCAGTGAACACCAAGGAACCTGTGGATGGGAGAAGGAAGAATTATGGGCAGAAAGAATAAACTAGAAGGATGAACAGGTCAGAGGGCCAGTTCATGCAAGGCTTGATGCAAAGACCATGGCTTTCATTCTAAGTGACCTGGGAGGCTGTTCTTGTTTCATTTCTATTGCTGTGATAAAACATCCTGATCACAAGACACTTAGTGGAAGAAACGATTTATTTGGCTTAAAATCCCAGTTACAATCCTTCCTGTGTGGGAGTCACAGGGGCAGGAGTTTAAGATACCTGGTCACCCCACATCCACAGTCAAGAGCAGAGAGGAGTGAATGGATCCTTACCATCTGCTCTCTCTCTCTCTCTCTGCTTCTTCTCTCTTCTAGATTTCTTTTGTTCTATACAGTTCAGGACCCCGAGCCTAGGGAATGGTGCCACCCACAATGGGCTAGGTCTTTCTTACATCAATTAATTAATTAATCAATTAATTAATAATCAAGACAATTCCCCACAAGTAAGCCCATGGGCCAACTTGGTCTAAATACTCCCCAATTAGGACTCTCTTCCAAGGTAATTCTAGGTTGTAACAAGTTGACACTTAAAATTAACCATCACAGACACCACTGAGAGATTTTGCGCAGAGGAGAGACATGACCAGATTTGTGTTTTATAGGATCTTTGATGTATGGGCAGAAAGTAGATCAGAGAAGCAGAAGAAAAATGCCAGGAGGATATGATAATAACCCAGGTAAAGAGATGACACAAAGTGCCAAGAGGTAATACAGTATGACAAAAATCTCCACACATTCCTGAAGATAGATCATATGGAATTTGCTAACATTGGATATGGGAAAGAAGAAAAAAATGACTCTGATTTGGTCTAGGCTGGACAAATGGGAGAGCTACCAACTAAAATGGGAATTTTGTTAGAAGAAAAGTATTTATTTGTGTGTGTGTGTGTGTGTGTGTGTGTGTGTGTGTGTGTGTTTTCTGAAACAGGGTTTCTCTCTGTAGCTCTGGCTGTCCTGAAGTTCACTTACTCTGTAGACCAGGCTAATCTCAAATTCAGAGATTTACCTGCCTCTACCTCCCAGTACTGGGATTAAAGGTGTGTGCCACCACACCCAGCTCAAGAAAAAGGCTTTATTAAATTATTCTATAGCACTGTCTTAGAGGTTCTAAACATTAGAATAACAGTGATTTTATATGGCACAACCTAACATAAATTTATGTTGTAGATATAGGAAAAGACCCTAGGTCTATTTCTGATTGAAAAAAAAAAAGGAGACATCCGAATAGCAGAAATAGCGAGAAAACGATTCTATTTATGAAAACATGAGAGCATCTGTGGTCCTCTGAGACTTAGAATGGGGACATATACCTTGGTGTACTCCAAACCTTAAGACCACAGCCTTTGAACCCTAGGGAATGTAGAAGTGGTCTATTCATTGAGGCTGCTCTCGATTAAGTCCAACATTGCTCATCTCTTGTTCAAAGACATTAGGAAATCCTCTAACTTATAAATGAGTCCCTTTTGTCTTACTAGACATCACACCAATAGATTGGATCAAGTCTTCTGAGTCCCAATGGGTAGCTCGGAGCCTTCTAGACAAAGGGTCTCTGTTCTACAGGACCTACAGTCTAGTACCTGGCTACCTGTGCTAACAGGAGCTGAGAGTGCCTGTGATTGGATCCCAAGGTGGTGGGTCAAGAGAGGAAGATGAGCTTGGACAGGGAGGAAGATCTGTTGCCATGGAAGCACTTCTTATCCAACATCTTTGCAAAGGCTGTGGAAGGTTGTGCTAATACAGTACCAAGATGGCTCTGGGCCACTTGGAAATGTGAGTGTTCCAACAGGAATGGAAGAGAAGCTGGAGCTTCTGGGCAAAGGTGAGGGAGCCAGAGGCTCACAGAAGTGAGAGCATGAAAATGGACCCTACCCCTGGCAGAGCAGCCTGTTTGGTGAAACAGAGAGAAAGGGGCTGGGGGAAGGGAACGGTCTTGCTTAAGGAACGTAGACACAATTCCTGGCTGGCAGAGAGGTTCTACAAGGGGCGAGGGATATGGCCTCCCAGAATGAATGAGTAGTTTATAAGAACATTGCTTGATCAGGACCACAAAAATCTATTATGGGGGAATAGTCATTCCAATAAAGATGCATGATCTTGTAACTAGTACCTAGAACTGAGCCAGTCTGACACAGGCCTACTGACTGGAAACAAGATGGAGTCCTGAGGGGAAAAAACCACACAGCACTAGGGAAAATCACTGTGGTGAATTTCCCCTGGGCTTTTATAGGTGGCTACATGGGTGGAAAGTCAATACTTAAATCTTTCA